TAGAATGCACCGAATGTGACGAAACGTGACAGGGAAGTAGGTTGATAAATGTCCTGTTAATTAGTTTTTATTAAATCCCATGTGACTGCTATTGTGACGTTATAAATGATGTCTAAATTCCGCACCAGAGCAAAAATTCAGGAAAGAAATGGTAAAAAGTTGATATTAGTTTTCTGTATAGAATTCTATGATTTTTGGTGAAAACCCCATCTCAATCGGGTAAAAAGACGTTAAGTTACAGCTAATTAAAGAAGTTCAAATTTCCCGCCAATTGACCATATATGGTCAAAATTAGGGGTATTTTAAACGGGAGAACAATGAATGTATTGGCACAGGAGCAAGTACAACGTTGCATAAAATCGAAATTGCAGGGTTTTTTTTTACTTAGGGTATGTAATACTACGATTCGTTTTTCGTCACGAAATACTTTATTATGAGGTCATAATGACGTATTTCGTGACGGGAATCCCGTCATAGCACCACATACACGAAGTAAAAAAATGCAATTTTGATTTTATATAACTTTGTCCTTGATCATGTGCCAATAGAATTATTTTTGTCGCGTTTAAAATACCCCTAATTTTGACCATATTGTCCATATAATGGTCATTTGGCGGTAAATCTGATTTTCTTTAATTAGCTGTAATTTCATGATCACGCCATTTTACCCGATTAAGAGGGGGTTTTTACCACAAATATTCTTTTTGTGTAGCAAAAATGTCTGTAACGTTTTGTCACTTATGACGTCATACTTTCGAGAAACGTCAAAAATACATTTCCAATGGTAAAAATTTAAAGAAACTTTTTTTTCTAGCTACGATTTTCTAATGTCTTGCTTCATTTGGAATATAAACTACTCCCCTGTGAGCCATTAAATTGAATTTAAGAAGTTGCGGGAGGAAAAGCCCTAGAAACCGACCATAGTGCAAGTTTCAAGATGCTGCATAAATTTTCTGTTAATGTCGTCGCTCCTGTGTTAAGGTGAAAAAGGCTACGCAATTCCTATATAGTATAATACTAAATTCAAACGTAAAGAAAAACACCACTCCAAATTGGCGCTAAAGGGGGAACACTGCGCCGCTATCGGCGTGACGTTCGACTTCCCCGTGTGACAAAAGACACAAAAGCTTGACTAGAGCCCAACCTATCTCTCCAGCGGATTGTAACGTGCTGGATCGGACCGGTAGGACCAAAAACTACACGCAACCTAAAAGCTTTACTCTCCACGGCCCTATAAGCTTCAAACCTGCTCAGCATCGTGGGACCAAATGGAACGAGTGTAGGCAATTCATAATTCGCTCTAGCCGATATAACAGCAATTTAGGCCGACACCGCCGGCAAGTGCTGAATTGCAAAACGATTAAGCATTGGCATATAACAGAGCTAAGGCTGATCGCAATTGAAATAGTGCGAAAACACGAAGCTTGGGGAAGTCGCTGCGAGACTTAACCGCTACTGATACGTGCGAAGCATGTATCCCTCCCCCCCCCCCAAGCGAAATAAACAAGTGTTGACTAATATGAAGTAACGCGCGCCATGCGAGGTGCGGCAGACATGGGAACGTTTTGCGGAGTATAAATGAATGTATAATTGGTAACAATCAGAAGACTACCTTACTAAAACTTTAATCAACCAATCTGGGAAGCCTGCAGCAGCAGCAGTAGGAGCAGCACCGATACGAAAACTATGGCCCTTAAAAGCGTAAACTGGCCTGACGAGACGCGTCCCTGAGAAGGGAATCAACCGATTTTCTTGTAAGTAGACGACCGCAATCAAATGAAAAAAGGGGACCAAGGGGACGCGCAAGTAAGAAATAATTACGCATAGCCTTGATCGCGCAAACGGTGAAGGCGAACACGCAATAACTAACGTGTGACCTCTACGAAACGTTTCGGTCTTAGGTGACTGAAAAAAAAAATCTGATTGGGCTCTTACGTAATGGGGCCTTATTTCCCTATTTTAGTTCGTAGCCTTTAATACACAGACCAAGGAAAATTGTCATCGATTTGTTCAACCGATTTTCCGATTTTCAAAAAAGGATGAAAAATCTTTGTGTTTTATTAGAGTGCAAACCGAAAATAAAACTGTCCCATTTTATCTTTGGGTAAATGGCTTTTAACCCCGTGAAAGCACTTTTATGTGTGAATGTATCGGTATGACTTTCCCAAGGTGAAACTCTTCTTAAGTTATTTCTTTCACTTGGGCAATTTATCGGCGAAAAACCGCAAATATGAAGGTGGTCAGAACCCAGAGCAAGCCCTAAAAGGTAGCCTGAATTTCATCCGATTACTTTGAGTCGTGTTATTACTCCCTCAGGAACGTCTGAATCGACCAGGCCGTTAATGCCGTCCAGTGACGTCACTACTCCTTTACCTTTGCTTTAATTTATGCAAAAAGTAAAACACGATTTTTAAGTGGCAAACCGAGAAATATCGTTTGGAAATGTCTGCATGATACAGAACTGCTTTATTTTTTCGATCGTAATTCATGTTTAACGTTCAAACTATCAACTGCATGCAGTACAACTCTGAAGCGGTTGTACTAAATTCTATTATCAAACTCGGTCGCAATCACGCAATGAAACGGAACACTTAGTTCAAAAACACAATGATTTGCTTTAATTGAAACTAAGCTATTTGGTCCTTAACGAAGAAAAAAAAAATAAGGAGACCAGAAAGAAAAACTAACAGAATCATTACACTTGACGGTAAAAATAGGACAAATAGCAAGAAGGTAGAATTATAACATTGATCTCAGAAAACTTCGCGTAAACAAAATCACCGGCCACCGAAACCACAAAGCGGCTCTAAATGAGAAACCTACCGACTCTCCGCAATGATTCTTCATTCGCAGTTCAATTTAGCATTTCAGTTTCGAAGACAAGGTCAATTTTGTTGTTTAAGATAAAGCAGAAACTCATAAGAGGTTGAAACGTGTAACTCTCATATGTTTGCTTTGTCCGATGCTCGTGATTATTCATTTTCGAAAGTACCATATTTAGAACGAGAAGAAGAGATAACTGACCAATCAAACTTCGTAAATAACGTGACGTAATTTTACTTCAGGTTCCCGCGCCCGCTTAAAAAAAATTGCTGACAAACGGGAGAAAAACTCCCGAAAGCCGAGAAAGCTTTCAAAGGTTGAGACCAGGAATCTCACCGAAACACTGAGCAGGATATTATTGCCTTATACCACCCGGGCCAAACTTAACATTATGAAACCCACTAACGTCCTCGCAACTACTTGAAGTTGTCACTTCAAAAAACGATGCCTCGTTGACCCTGTGCACAGTAAACTATAGGCTTTTAAAATTCTTATACTAAACGTCTAGAATAAACAGTAAAAAATATTTTCGAATAAAATCATTAGCTGCGTATCGAAAAGTGTCCAAAAAATGAACCTGACATCTTTGCAAAAAGTAATGCGTGTAATGAATGTGAGAAGCATTTAAGCTTAAATTCAGCTTGGATGTTGTGCTAATTTTATGAATGAACAAACGTAAAAACTCAAAAGAATAGACATATAATCCGTTTCTTGAAAATTTTTATTCAAAGTCCAAAAATTTAATCCTTTAAAGTAGTTCGGAAAACTCTACCTGGATCGTGGATCCGTTCACGCAAGTGAAATCGCAGAAGACAAAAATTTATAAAACGTCTATGAAACATTTAAAAATACATAAATTCCCTTTCAAAAACGTAATTGTCTTGGCCATAGAGTGCAAAATGTACCTGAAAAACTTCACTGCCTTGGTTGCATTTCAAAACAGACCATGCGCTCCGTCGTGAAGAAAACAAGGTTGAATTCCTTGAAGACGATTTCTTGATAAAAAGCTTCCCTTCCTCCACAAAAAGAAAGCTGAGCATTCTTTGGATCTTTGTCTTTCCATTTTTTGTCTTTTAACGGTGTATTTTAAACCTTGAAATGCAGAACTCTTGTCTTAAAACATCTGCATGGTGATCGCGCGGCAGCCATTTTGTTGAAAATGGATATCTGTCACTAAGGTTTCCAAATATGGTAAAAGTGAATATTCACGAGCATTGAACGCGAGTTACACGTTTCAACTCCTTATGAGTTTCTGGATAAAGATTAAGGTTATCGAAATGTTTGAACTAAACGAAAGAATGCCAGGGATGCGATCGCGATTCGCTGAATACCAAGCGACAATCCCACCAAAAATTTTTCATAATTATACATAATTATGCGAATGTTTAGACAATCAACCAACCAAAATCACTACCCGGTTTTCGGGTAGTGAGTGACGTCACTGGACGTTATTAACGCCGGTCGATTCAGACGTTTTTGAGAGGAGAAAACGACTCCAAGCAATCGGATGAATTTCAGGCTAGCCAAAAGGACCTTTGGGGAAAAGATTTGGTGTAACCCCACTAGAACCTATTACTGTAGTTTTTGACATTCTCGATACCGTGCGCTGTTAATAATGAATATTACTGTCAAAGGTGAGTTAAAAAAACGGCAGGTTCAATGAGCAATAATACAACAATTTTGAACGTGCAGTACACACTTTTTTTTACGATTTTTTTTTCTCCCTTAGCTTTCTAAACTTAGGCGCTATTCCTAAGAATTCATCTTCAAGGAAATTCACGTAAATGTGAAATTTTGAGCGTGTTGGAATGAACGCGATTGAAGTTTGAAAATGATAACCGGTTTGTATAGTGACACAGCACAGGCTGTCTATGCAAAATATTATAGCAAATCAAATTTTGAGAGGTAGGGAAAAGGGAAAAAGGGGATGAGGAGGGTTGGGATTTTGACCGAAATTTTACGCGAGTATCACTCTCCAAATAAGCGAAATTGTCGTTCATTAAAGGCTAGTTTGCGATTGGTTGTTGCGGGGCATAATGTAACAACAAAATAATTTTCTTTTCGTAAACTGTATTGTTTCTTTATTGAATTGGATACATCACAGGCTACTTTTTACTAGATTTATTACACGTCAACTTTTACTCTGAAATAACATAATCTTTTAAACGATTATATTGTCAAGGAATATTTATGTCCTCCAGGTCGATTTCGTGGTCAAATTTGTAAAGGCATTTTCCAGAACCGATATTTTCCACCGAGTACAGGAAACCGCTGTCGTCCACTGCCATCCCGTACATTTCCACTTTCTTCCCCTCGCCCCATTCTCTGATGTAGCGACGCTTTCCATCATAAGTACGTTGGTAGACACCACTTACGCCATTGGCATAAAAGCTTTTCTGAGCAGAATAGAACAGATTGCCTTTGCTATCCATGGCTATTCCTTTCATTATGTTTATCCGCGAACGACCGTCCTTTAGATCGTACCAGTCTCTGTTCATCACTTTTATTTTCGCCAGGTCCAACACATTGTATGCACCACTTTTCTCGTCAGAGGGCACCGCCCCTACGTCTGAGTGACTTGAAAGCTCCCTCTCTATCACAAAATATTTCCCATCATTCGAGCAGCCGAAGTAGTATTGCTTGCCTCTGTGATAGTTTCTGCTTCTTTGGAGAGCCCAGTCTAAGCGATCAGTTCTTCCTTGAATTGGATCTGGCTTCCCATTATTATAACCGTAAACCAACTTATCGTATGGCATTTCATAATTCGTGATTGAACCGTATTTATCAGCGTACGCTAGACGTTCTCCGCAAAAGGCAACACCTACTAAATCTGCCTCCCTCCGAGGTTGCCAAGGGTAAAACAGTTGAATGAAGGTAGTGTAATGCTCAAGACTTATTCCACTGGGATCGCTTAGGTCACCTTGTATCTTAAACAGCATGAGTTTGCTTTTCCCTCCAGAGGTGCTGGTTTTGGCGGCTATGGCAAACAGTTTCATTGGGGCGTAGATGGAGATTCCATACGGATGGCAATTTCCGCCACATTCAGATCCAGGTACATCAATAGACTTGACGACTGCCAATGTGTCAGGTTTGACGATCAAGATCTTTTTGGCTTGGGGCTGTGCTACATAAAGATAGCCAGTCGAGTAGAGTAGAGTGTAGGAGTCTGCGAATTTATTGCAGTCAGTCTGTACCAGCTGAACAGGAACAAGAGCCAGATCTCGTAGGGAAAATACAAAGTCTTGCTGCATTTTTCGATTATCCCGCGAGCCCTCGTCTTTACCTAGTTTGTCACATAGTTCGGTGTATGTAGGATCCTTTAGTTTTGGCCACCATTTGCAGACTTCCTTCATGACCTTTTTAAAAGATGCATTGTCATCCTTGTACTTCAAAGAGGCTGCTAGCACAACTGAGACGTAGCCGTCTTCTTGGTATCGGAAGAGTTTCCTTATAAAAATCCAGGTCAGCTTGGCGGCTTCTGCTGGAGATTTTCCGTTATCGGTCTGAACTTTAAAGTAATGGGTGACAAGACCCTTGTTGACAACCAAGTCTGGGATATGAAAAAGAGCTTTTTCAATGAATTCGTCTTGGCCTTCTCCACCTAAAACCAAATTAATGAATCTCTTTTGTCTTTCCTTAGCTCTCCCAGTAGTGTCTTTGCTCTTTATATCTTCTATTACTTTCTTCCTTTGGTTGGCAACGTACTCGATGTTATTGAAGTACCATTTCCGCTTCGATTCATTCCAGATGTCCTCCACATCTTTCTTGATGGACTTGACATCGTTGTGGATAGCTTCCAACTTTTCTCTATCTTTTTTCAGTCTTGGGGTGATTTCGTCGTTGCTACAAATCGATGAAAAAGTGCAGATAGCCCCCTGGATGGTAGCACCCACGCTCACAATTAGGCCTATCAAGCTCAGGGGATCTATCGCTCTCTTATCCCTTACTTTCACTTCATTTTCACCAGAGGAGGCGTCAGACGTACGTTCCACGTTCTGAACCTTACACCAAGACACGCTCAAAACTAAAAGCATTAACACAAGGGGAACTTTGAGAAGAGCCATTGGATTGCACATATCTGAAATAGAACAACATTTTTATGTTAACTGAAAGGAGACCGACCCAACGGTTTTTGTCCTCGTTTGGGTGGGCAAGCGATAGTGATTATGATTACTATTATACAGTCAACTCACTATCTCTTTTCTGATTGGCCGGAAGCGTACATTGAATTTTTGAATTCAACGCCTGAGACGTCACCAGGATGCAGATTATACAATAATCATGTCAAGAACACTCAAGGTCACGGGTAATCATGTCATGTATGACCGCGGTGCGTGATTTCTAAGGGTAATCACGTCAAGTTCGCGCGCTTTGTGCTTGCCATTAGCGAAGAAGAGAAGCAAAAACTTTGACTTCCAGCTTTGCTTCGTTGACCGAGAAAGACATCAAAAAATAGTTGAAGACAAGGACTCACGAAACACAAAAAAGTCGACGAAGGTGGCAAAGGAGCTGTTTGCTGATTACGAGAAAGAAAAAAAACTGAGAGAACCTAAGGTATTTTTACACCTTTAGAAATAATTTGTCAGTTCCACTTACTGTCGTGACCATTTTTTGTGCGTTCAATGTATAATAAAACAATTAGTTATTAGATGCAGTTTTTGTGATATCCAGAATAATCAAGGTCTCAGTAAGGGTTATCACCCTCAGCTGGGGAATAAAAGTAAATTTAAAAACGAGCTGCATGAAAAGAAAAACAAAGAGAGGAACTAAACGAAGAAAACGCTTATAATCTAAAAAGTGAAATAGTACAGTCAGTTTAGCTTAAGGGATCATGTATCAAGTGAATTACACTAGTGACGACGTTGGTGTTGACTTGAGCGACGCCCGTCAACCGGAGGTGGACTTTTTTCATTCTTGAGCGGTATTTTTGCCCAAAATTTTGGACAAATCGTCTCTATAATAAGAAAGAGACTCAAAATTAAACACAAATTTGGTATTGTCAAGTCATTTTAAAATGAAAAGGATCTCACTTCCAGTCGACGTGAGTCGCTCAAAAACGCCTTTGCCTAAGCTCCCTAAAAGGAACTTAAGCATACCACCGACGCCAGCCGGAAGTATTTTTGCAGGATGACAGCCACTGTGCATGTCAAGCATTTCACGTTCTTGAGCTGCGGTCAGGGACTTCAAAACACGGCTTCTCAGGTTGAAACCAGAGGTTCAAATTCTGGCTTCTTCAAAGAGTATTCGTCATACAAAAGTAAAAATTTTTCCTGTGAAATCAAGTTTTCTTCGTAAGAAAGAAACAAAATCTCTGACAGACAATTTCAAATAAATTATTCTGTCGTTGTTCGTGATGGTTTCACGTTGGTTTTCTTAATGATTTGCTTTTGGCGCGTAAACAGCGTCCCCGATCCAGTTCTGCGCGGCCTGCCATGCCGTTCGTGAATCAAGAACGTCTGGTGGTTATTTAAGTTCCCTAATGGATGCTTTGACCGCAGAAATTATTGTACCAAAAGCTTGTACCTGTGGCTAAGGAAAGGATTAGGCGAAGAATATGGTACAATCGACAACGAGAGGAAATCTTATAGTCACCAGAAGAGATTACACTCTATTCAGGACCATCAAACTACTAGTGGATAACAGGAAAGTTACACCCTTTTTTGGCGCATATTGGTTGTGATACGGGCGATGCTGTACAGGGGACTACCTTTCTTTATCACATAGTACCGAGGAAAAGAGTAAGAGAGGAAGAAAACTTAGGACCATCAAGAGGAAGAGAATTAACAGTTTTTCACAAGTGCGCCGGCCCTATACCCATACTGGGCAATAAATGGAGAAAAAGATCAGATACGAACGGCAAGAAAGCTTCTAGAAAAGGACAGAGACAATAAAGAGAATGCTCATAACAATTTAAAAGAGGAAGGATTGCTGCCCCATAAATCAAGTCCTTCACAGAGGAAATCTTACGCTTTTTGCCAGACGAAGAGGAGCCACAGTCAGTGGCAAAAACCTCAGAAAAATAAATCTAAGTACAAATGTACACCCGTGGGACAAAAATAACAAGCAAAGGACATGTTGTGTCTTAGCTAGTTTAACGGGAAAAAGAAAACTAATCCAAAATGATTTAGGGCTCATTTCTTACCTTGCTTACAGAAGACTCTCTTTTGGCTGATTTATTGACAAATTTCTCTTCACAGTGTTTTCCCGATACTAATCCGCGTGATGAATTCCCTTCGAGGATATAGGCTGCAATTTTACTGTCTACTAGATGAAATGGGAAAAAGCTTATATTCAATAACAAATGGTGTATATCAAAAGGGCTCCATACAAACCTCTCAGCAGTTCACTGTTATACTCTTCTTTATCAAGATAAAAGTCCTTAGATGAAAGAGCTAGTAGAACTGTAAGATTACTTTTCCCTCCTGACAACATGCAATCAGCTTTGACGCTTTGAGCCTCTTTATGGGTATTTCGATCGACGTCGGGACGATCACTTTTGATAAAACGACGATTGACAGTTTTAGCCGAACTTTGAAAGCAGAGAAATTTGGCAGAAAGGTCTGTTGTACGTTCAGAGTTTTTTGTTTTATACCTTTTCGTTTCCGTCGTCGTCGTGCTTCAGCTGACTAGTACCGTTACCACGCAGAACAATTCTTAATATACGACGATTTAATTTCGTTGAAAAACTAACGGTTGACGGAAAACATGGGGCGAAAAAGGACTACCCTAGGTACTCATAGAGAGGGCCAACTTTTCTAAACTCTGTTCAACCAAAGGGAAAAGAACTGAAAACTGTAATATATGATTTGCTATAAAAAAGAGATCAGAGACGTCTTACCTTAACAGTGATAATCAGGATGACAGTGTAATCTACAAGTTATGGACTAAATCTTCTAAACTGGGCTAAATGATTTAACACCACTTTGTCCAATCAAATTTCTCCACACATAAACTAACCATTAGGCCTTATAATTAAATATTGATGACCTGGGAAAAAAAGATAGATATGTTTTACAAGTTCCAAATAGAGTTTACGACAGGATCATAGAAAACTAAGTTTTCATAAACAACAGCCAAACCTTTTCTAAAAAGAGAACAGAAAAAAAACAAAAACAAACAAACAAACAAACAAAATAAAAGGAATGTCTTGACTTAGATTTTTGACCTTTGCGATAAGTTCATATGATCTTTCCAGTTGAACTTATGTGCTAAATGCAGCGCGGGTCAACAATATACCATCAAAAGAACTAGAAAAAGTCGGTGGCACTCAGTGGGTGGTTCCTTTTTTCTCTTGTCGGTTGACAACGTAAAGAATGGCCGATGAGCCACAAAAGATAAGACAGTAAAACTTTGGTGAAAATGGTGAATAAGTTTTGTTATACAATGTTACAAATAACAGTACGGCCATGGGTTATCGTAGTTTTACATCTAGTATCATGATCAGTTATATATTATCTAATGGTCCCGGAGAGTTTCCAATACTTTTAGAATTGAATGATATTATAACTACTGAAAAGAAAGTCGACTGAGAGAACTCTTAGCTTTTGAGGGATCCTGTTGTTTTTCTACCCAACGCAACGAATCATATTCTGTTATCTCTTATTTACTGAAGAAAAAGTTGGCCTGGCTTGTAAAGTTGAATGAACAGGTTATAAAAATTGGGTCTATACCCTTCAATAACTGCAAATAGGCCATTTGCACTAAGAGGCCATGTGACATCGTTTTTATGAGAATTTTTTTTATGAAAGTTATAAGATTTTGCCTTCGAAAAACGATTAGAGGGTCATATCTTAAACAAAAATAACAGTGATTTGGTTTCTCAAACCCGCACTCTTTTCTTAAAATGAGAAAGTTCGTAGCTGGTCACTAGACCAAAATGTAATTTTTAAAATTATGAATTACCTCTTTCTGAACACAAATTTTGCGCTTAAACTTCAAGGAAAATGTTGAAAAGGTGATGTGGTAACGTTTACAGCACATCTGAGCGTAACTGTCAAACGTTTAACAAGATATAAGCAAAAAGTAGTTTCGGTCGCCATGTTGGAGGGCAAGAGTATGCCCTCCAAAATGGCGGCCAATAAAAATCATACTACTTTGTTGAAAAGTCGAAGTGCCATAAAATATCTCCCTAAAGTGCGTTTCCTCTCAAATGTCAGGTGTAAAATAATTTTTACGTGCTCTGTCAATTTTTGGCATCAGCAAGATTCCAACTCATTGTTTAAAGGAAGCATTGGTCACGTGACCTCTTAGTGCAAGTGGCCTATTCTTGTTGAAACAATAAAACCATGGATAGAACAATCAAATGTTAACCTTTGAAGTCAAACTGGTAAACTAATACACTTGCAAATGATAGGTTTAGGTTTGTTACCAGCAGCACTCGCTCTTGCCTGAACGCGATGGCCGATGTCAACGTAGTACTGTCGACACCCAGGCAGGAGAATAGTTGAAGGCACAGTTTTGCTGTGTCCTCAGACTATTCAGATTCCTTAGCTTGCGGGAAAACAACGCAAGCTAATATTTTACATCCGGATCAGAGGGCCGCGAAGTGTACGACGTGCAAATTGCTTTAAGGAAAGTTTTAGCTCTTAATAGCAAGAGGATGACCAGAAAACTGCTCGACTAGCTTCAAAAGGCGTTTTTCGGCAAAAAATTCCAGAGGGGAATGGGTTAAGGTCTTAATAAGTCATTTACAAAACAAACAAGGAGGCAAGCAAACAAACAAACAAAAAACGCATGACGGTGGTTCTGGTAGTATTCATGAACTTGAACGGTTTAACAGTAGGGAATCACACGGAACCTGTTCGTTGCGGTTGAATAATGAAAGAAAAAAGAAAAAATTGCCCAACTTGATGATTCGTGAGCTAGTAAAAGTAATCAAATACGACAAAGTAATCTTAAGGACTTTTTCCCTCCAAAAAAACATAAAAATTCTATATATACAAACAAACATTCTAAATATGCTTAAGAAATAACACCTTAAAGTTATTGCTCAGACGATTGAAAAGTTAATATAAAGATCAAAAAGCTGATTTCTGCGGGTAAACAGTATACACCATAAAGCAAACCACGATTAACAAGGTCTCCAAAAGAGCACACGTAGAATTGAGTAAAAGAAAACAATTATTGATCCACACTGTAAAAAGTCACAACAAAAATAATAACGTTCAGTAAAACTTGGAGAGTAATTTTCTTCAATTAGAATATACTAGATGTGACATAATATAACAAACGGGAATCATCTATTTGTTACGTTACGATGTTGTATCAAAGGTTTTTCCTTCACCACTTTGTAGCTTACAGGACAAAACCGACGAACCTCATGCATTGAAAAGTACCTTGATGTAGCTACTCTTATTACTACGGAATGCTTAACAAGAAAATTAAATTTTCGTTATTTATTATGCATTTAAAATAATTCGCCGTTTTTGATTGGCTAACAATCCCCCAGCTAATTCGTCACGGCGCTTACCATATTTGGAAGATAAAGGCAATTTATATACCATCGTTTCGATTGGTTGTTGCCCAATATAAAATTACAACCTCGTTTCCTGCCAGCGGCGCGGCAGCCTAGCTGTTCACGAATATCCGAAGACAAAATAGTTGAATTACTGTCTAAAACAAAACGGAACAAACGCAAGAACACGCCAAAAGTATTTCGGGATGATACAAATGACATGTAGTTTTTAAGGAGTATATCCGCAAGGGGGAAAAAACAAAAACAAAAACAAAAACAAAATTATATGTTCAATTACATAACTGTGCCGAGAAACTGGCCGACGTTTACAAGGAGGTAACGCTGTTACGAACGTAGAAATATTTTGAATGAATAATAAAACAATTATTGAATTCGGCTTTAACTGAAGAATTATCAGTTATCTAGCTCGGCCACACCCTCATTGATCTGCATATTTTTTTCAACATGCTTAGCCTCATTCAAAAATTGTTAGAGATCAACTTGGGCCCTGGGGTTTATTCCCCAGTCTTTAAAGGCCCTTTTCTTGCAGATATCCACTTTGAGACCATCTTTGTGAATTCTTCCTTCTGACAGCGCCATGCAAATTTGGTAATAGAGCGGGTATTTTGGCATCCAGCATTTTCCAATGTTAGTTCCTTCAATGTCACCGAATCCTTTCCTTTTCCATTCAAGGTATTTGCTGTACTCATCCTTGTTACTGCTTAGGTACGTAATGTAGTCAGCCAAAAGTTTGGGGTTTTCGAAGTCACGGACATTAATGATGGAGCTTCGAAGATTTCCAGGAAGAAACTGGTCAAGTTTGTCTGTACCCATCACAACAGGGACTGAACCAGCGCTGAGGGCATGAGTGAGCTGATTATCCACAAAATAATCACAGTCTTGGTTAAAGAACACCAATGTAAATTTGTACTTTCTAGCCAATTCAGTTTTGCGTTGCTTAAAATCTTTGCCATATCTTGCCACGAGACCTCGTTTGTTTTTAAGACAGTCTCCATAAGAATCGATTGGGATAAACTTCATCAGTTGCTTCATGTACTCAGTTCGCACGGGTTCACAGTTTGAGAATGCGGCAAAGACCATTGCCGTCTTTTCTTCTTCGAAGGCAATAGGTGGGGTTAAATCAGGCATGAAAAGGACGGATCCGGAAAGTCCGAATCTAAACGGTAACTTCTCAGCAACTTGAACTTAGACATGAAGTTGGCGTCTGTCAGAGCGGGAGTGTAAACTGGATTTTCTCGTGTGAACAAGATCCAAGGCACTGAATCTACCGGAGGTGTCATATGCGAATCTCTTGCGTGAACAACAAAGCCATCTGCCTCCTCTACTCTGGAATGATCGCTAGTTACCTCGCAGGCAACTGGACATTCCCCCTTTTTCCACGCAAGATGCAAGTCCAGAGAAGAGAAGGGAGGACACAACAACCCATAAAACTACAAAATACAGTGTATAACGGTCAAGTACAGGTTGACTGCAATATAACCGATGTACAAGTTTTTTGTGTGTGTGTGTGTGTGTGTGTAGAAAGCAACGGTTGTTGTGGTGTGGGTATTGTTGAGTGTCTTTTAATCTTTCCCAAATTGCACCCGTCCGAAACTTTACCGTTGAAAATTGACTGTAGTTCTAATTAATTAAATAATTGTTAGGTTACAGGTTTTGTCACATAAATCTCTATACAATGTATTTTGACCGCGTCGCAAGAAACATTTTGGGCTACCTGTGGCGCTTATCCTTTGTCGTGCCAGACGTTCTATAAATTTTCTCGTGCAAATTTATGTACCGAAGAGTTATGATTGCGACTTATTTGAGTATGAACGACAGAAGGAACTTTAGTAAGAAGAAAAAACTGAAGGGAAATACTTCCAAACACTACAAAGAGGAGGAATGAAAAGTTTAGCTAGGATTTTGACCGGTGGGGGCAAAAGGACTGAGTTTGCGGAATGGCATGTGGCATGGCTTGGGGAATGACATAATTATGCTGAATTTAACATATGAAAATAACGCAAAGAAATGAATTAAACATTAGTAACTACCAATTTCAACATGGCAAATTGAATTTTGCACCCCAGCTGTAACAGCTAGTCTGAAATGTCATACGTCTCCACCTCCTAACCCGTGGGAAGCGCGACAAATAAGGGCGAGTAGAATCTTTGTGGCTGTGCGAAAAAGGCTAATCGAGAGTGAGAAATCAAAGAATCCTTCGTGGCTTTTTGGTTGTCATCAACATTACAAAAGTCGCTGCTTTTGAAAAATTGGTTGGCGCCAAAAAGGGTGCACTTTTCAGTCTAATTTATTTCTTTTAGGCAATCTGCATATATTACATTCTGCATAATTATGTCATTCCGCAAGCCATGCCACATGCCATTCCACAAACACATTCCTCCTTTCACCCTCACCGGAGTTCGACATAACCAAAAAGCGGTGATTAAGGTGATGTTTATACCGATCGAATTTCTATCGAGACTGAACAGTATGAATTCGAAGTTAAAAAAAAAAATAATAATAATAATAGAAAACATACCTATCCCGCCATCCCATATTAATTGAGCTTTTTCTTTTTTCAGGTTAACGTTGGTTCACGAAAAACTGTAACTATATTCTAAAACGGCATATGAAATTGTAAAGAGAACAATTTTCACCAACGGCATGTTTTGGTCTACTTTTGTGTCAACACTATAGCCCCATCAGATAGACAGCTTAAGCATTAACAAATATATTTTTGTTTACTTGCTGTTTATTGCACTGGACTGTCGTTTAGAGGTTACGTTAACTAAAACCGTTTTAAAGATAGACAATCTTATTAGACCTTGAGTAATGTAAACGTTAAGAATACGAGAGGAGCAATCCTCTACAACAGTACCTTTCTCTGTTTCGTTTAGACTATGCTCTGTCGCCTTCTGAACCACTGCTTGGGACAACGGCGTCAAAACTGGAATTAAAGAATTGCTAAATTGATGATTACATCGAAGGGAATCGAATTCAAAGCTGACGGTAGTCAACAGAGGCAATGTGTCTACGATGTGAAACACTCTTCGAGTCTGTGTACGGCACACGCTCAAGCTGTGCAACAACAAAGACGTTATTGTGCTAATACATGTCGGTACGGAAGGCAGTCACGCAATGCTTCAGTAACTTGGACTTCCGGTCCCTGTACACCCTACTGTCAGGCCAATGTCGTCAAAAATGGCACAGGACTCTTTCAAAGCACGGGTTTATATTAGGTACACTATATTAAGCTAGACATTTGCCAGTAAAAATATGTGGAAAACCACGTATATTTTAGGCATTTATTAAAGTCATCAAACTGAGTTTGTCCCAGCCTTGATTTCTTCCGCTCTCGCTCTCGAGTTGCAGGCTCCGTTTCCCCGAACTGCGGCTGGTAATTAAGCTTTGCGCTCCTGAGGCGCCGACCACTTGACTTGGTGGGTTGAAGGGGATTTGATTTGGTTTGGGTAAGACTTTTTCCCCTGAAACCGTCTGTGGAGGTAGAATTTTTTCCCCAGACATATAATGGTGTAGCATATTTTTCGCAGCATTATAGGCCGTAAGATATATACTTTTTTCAGTGCAGGAATTTTTTCCCCACGACATCAGTCCGAGTTTTTTTTTTCTGAAATCACCCATACCCCGCCCCTCCGGTGAGAATTTTTATAGGGGGCTTACTGCCTTGGTTGGTCCGTATCGTCAAGACCCTGAGCTAACTTTCAATGGGGCGGGGGGGGACTAGCCTAAGTCTCTCTGGAGAATCAGTTCAGTGATCATGTATTTGGTTTAAGTTTGTCATGCGAAATTCAGCCTTACAAATGTTATGGGAGGCGGGGGGGGTGATGTGGCCTTGAATTCTCTGCTTGGGGGTAGCTTAAGTCTCAAGTTGCCTCGGTCATATAGGGCCTTAAAGTAGTCAGAGATGACCAAGTTGAGAGTGTCTTTTTGATAGACCACTGTCAAGTCACGTTCAGCTGTGTGGCCTAGACTTGCCAGCTGGGGCATTTATCATAAATTCGGCCAGATTTATTTATTTATGTTTAAATCACATCATTAGTTAGAACGACTATTTTCTAGGAACATTTCATTTGTAGCTTAATCAAAAATAAAACACAAACAACGGTGATAAACATTGTGAGCTTTTGCAATTTCTTATCGAAGTTTCTTATGCTAGTCAGAAGGAAAATAGGTTGGCATTATTACGGGCAAAGAATAAACGCAATCAGCCCTCTTGTCCCTCTCTGGAATATGTTGATGCAAGCTATTGGTTTTGTTTTCTTTTGTTTCTTAATTTCACCCAATAAAAGGCCCCGTCCACACATGGCCGTTTTTGTTTGAAAACAGAGATTTTCTTTCCTCCCGTTTCAGGGGCACCCAACGTCAATTTTCGGAAAATATCTGTTCGAAAGATGATTTGAGATAGGATTTTCCAACATCTAAAAAACGGTATAATTGGGAGCCTTTTTTCTGGCTGAAATTTTCGAAAAGGTAAGTTTTGATCCCTATAATTTTTGGATGACTGGACTTTCAGCTAGGAGATCTGAACAGATGAAAAATTTTTAGGGGATAAAAATATGCCAAGATCTACCGTTTAAATGCTAAAAGACGTTGAATAATGCTATGTTTAAGAAGTTTCGTTGGGTGCCCCTGTGGTTTGGTCTACCTCCCACACGTTTCCGGTAAAAACGGTCGCATCTTTTCAAAAACGCTATCCAGAGTGAAGATTTTTGAAACGCCGTTTTTCTGTACTCGAGTGGTCGGAGGAAAACGGAGGTTTTTGAAAACGATTACGACACGAGCGCAGATACCAGAAAATGTGCATGATAGTACCGTTTTTAATGAATAAGTGCGCAATTTTCGTGTGGACGGGCAAAAAAGCTTCAAAACCACAACGTTTGGGCTCGGAATTTTTTTTTTTTATCAAAACAGAGAATCAACTTTAACCATTAGAATATCTAAACAACTGGGATAGAACAAAGTAAACGCAACTGTTTAATCACAAATGAAGTGGTCAGAACCCTTAAATAAGTTTTATACATCGAGTTGGGCGAGTTCGTCGAGAACGTTGGGACGAGAGCAAAAAAAGAGCAATTGAGGGGGAAGAGGAGGGGAGAGAAGGAAACCTCGTCTCCCCCTCCCCTTTCATTTTTAGCTTGCCACGTAGGTTAGTAATAGTGGGAATCTAATATTTCCGTTGTTTCGATGTAACGTCTCCAAAGATTTCCATTCAAGTTGACATATTGATTTACCGTCTCTATTCATTAATCTCTAAGGCAAATGGCAAACGCCGAACTTTTCATGAGACGAATCAAACTAATTAAGGACGACCTAAAAGTCTTTAAAGATTGTCTGTAGAGTCAGAAGTCGAACTTAGGACGCGTCGAACCAATCAACTGTATCAGACCAAAAGCCAGGTTTAGCTCAATTTTAATACATTGTCTCCCAAACAAGGCTAAATATGCATTATCATACAAACTTTTAATCTATTAGTTTAGTTCGTCGCATGCGAAGATTGACGTTTACCCTGGAAACGATCTTCAGGCGTTTTGTCATGTTCTGTCCACATGAACAGACGAATAGACCGTGTTGGATGATCCAAACTCATTCAGAAAGAACTGAGCCAGCCGTCCAACTTTTCATGACCTTAAATCACTAGGTTTGCAGGCGCGGATCTAGTATAAATACTGACCGATTTCGTATTTCTACGAAGGTCTGGGGTCATGCTCCCCCGGAAAAATGTTTTTGATTTAAACTCCCTTAAGTCCCCTTTCCTGAGTTTCTGAGTCATTCAGACAGGATATTTACTGACTGTCCAAGCCATTTTCCAGATTTCAACTTGGAAAGCTTAATAAAGTTTTTCTTTTTTTTCAATAAAAATGTATTTATTATAAAAAATTTGACAGATTTCCGTAAAACGGTGGAAACTAGTATGGATCCGCGCCTAGTTTGGTTCGTCTAATGAATTTTTACGACGTTTGGCCTTAGGCCTAACATTAACAACAACTACCATCTTAGAACGAGCGACTGATGGGGAAAAAAAGGGAAAGGTAACGTGGGTATCCCTAGGAGAAAAGCTGAAAAAGCCGGGAGTTAATTTTGGAAGATTCATGGCTTTTACATGACAGGGAGTTCAGCTCTAACATGATTTTCTAGAACAAAATGGCCACCGTTGTATTGTTTTGGAACATCAATATGGCTGCCGTGACGTCATGTGCAAATGCTCGATGAATCTACCCTCTGTTACCCTGCAAGTCTTTCTGATATATTACATTGGAACTTTTCGTATAAAAAGTAATGTTAAAACTTCCTTTGGCATGGTTTAAAAAGTAAGTTCCGCTTAAGGCACAACTTACAATGTATATTAAAATTATATATAAAATGGTTTTACTTTTCATTTGTAAGCTATTGGGTAGATTAAGAATCTACCACGTCAAGTGTCGTTCTCGCTGCCGTGCAAGAAGTAGTGGTGAGTTAGGGATTTAAAGCAACCACCACCTGACGTCGACCAAAACGGGGACGCCAAAAAAGCAACAAGTTTAATAACCAAAACAACAACTCTACACGTGCATCAAGCATTTTTGTACATTTCTTTACCGTCACCGCACGACAACAACGTGAAACTTCTTTTCAATGTGACGAATTATATAGGACGTAAAAACTCAACGACCAATTTTTCTTTCTTTTATTGATTTTTTATGTCCTCCCTACAAATTCAACTCAAGCAAAACCTTACCACTATAAATTTTAAATGAACACGAACGTATTTTATGAATGACATCCCCATTGCTATTGCCGTCCTGGTTGCTTAAACTCCCTATTTTCTCCTAAATGCTACGGCTCAACAATTATTCAATAATTTAGTTATTTTTTCTAGGTCTGTGGACCCTCCAAAATAAATACAATGCGAATATAACAGACCACGTCTTTGCAGGACTCAGTAGAAAAGCTAGCGTTCCGTAAGCCCGTAGCACATTAACATAAGACGACGATGCTTGCCAAAGCACCAGGCAAACGAATACGATATGGGCTAGGCTCTTCTTGAGGAAACTCATAATGTTACCGAGAGAGGAATGAGAATGACTTTTCGAAGAAGTTTTGATGTAAACGGGTCGAATATTTATCTCCAAAAAATAGGCAAGGTATAGCGTCAAGGGCAAATGGAACATAACCAGCTGAAATAAGTGAAAAAGAAAACGTGTTAACAAAAGAAAAGAACGATTTTCTACAGAATTTACCTGTCCACGTCTGTGTACTTTTCAGAATCAGGGCTCGCACCCATTTTTAAAAACAACTTTCCCGGGGCCTTTTTCACTGAAATTTTGATAATTAGCTGTTTAGTTGATGTTTGCATTCGAGATATCGAGGTTTAAAGAGTTCTGTCGATAATGTGCACATGACTTCATTCTCAGCGAAACAAAATGGATTGGTTTGCGCTTTGTACCTTTAGATTTTGATTTGAATATTCATTTTGGGCACGAAAAGTTACTGGGACTTTTGAGAAACGGGCCCCAGCACCTAACCAAAGTGTTTTAGACAATACACCGTACAAAATGGAACCTGGAGACAACAGTGAATACAATGCTTGATTTTGTAAAAACAAACAGATAAAACAATAGCCTGCGTAGAAAGCGTTTCCAATCGAGTTATTGCGCGAAAGTTAGAGCGGAAGCAAAAAAAAAAGGTTGAATGGGGAGGGGGAGGGAAGAAGTGGAGGAGGAGGAGAGAGGGAGGTTCCTTCTTTCCCCTCCCCCTCCCCTGTCATTCATTTTCTTTTTTTTTTTTGCTCTTGTCCCAGCTTCCTAGACGAACCTCGCGAGGAAACGCTTGTTACGCAGGCTAATAAAACAAACAAAGCAAAATAAACAAAAACGAAGTGTATAGAAATTTTCCTGACTTTCGATGAGTTACAAACATCGTTTGGGAATCTGCAGCCTTGGAAAGTGTCAGGAGACAATTCCAGGACTTTTCAGAATTTCCAAAGCCCATACAAACCCCGTGTTTAAAGAAAAATTAGTTAAAATAACCACACCTGCACGATACCGTAGTAATATGATAAAGAGCCTGGAATCCAGTGTCCTTTGACATACATTCCATGTACAAACAGAGCGCCAAGGTG